ATCCTGGAACTCACTATGTAGACCAGGCTGGCCTTGAACTCACAGAGATCCACCTGCCTCTGCCTCCCCAGTGCTTAAAACATCATTCAATTTTATGTCTTAAAGGGTTTATACTGAGTACAATAATGTACAACTGTGTTAATTCAACACTGTGACCCTAAAAATGTACAGCCAATTTTGAAAGAGATGCATCTTTACTCTGGAAACTGTCATTGACTATGTTAATGCTGTTGTAATGAAAGGCTTCTACTAATTATGTGGTTATTAATTAAATTTTTAAAAATATAATTTTAAAAAGATTTTTTAAAAAATTGTGCTTGCCAGGTACGGTGATGTATACCTTTAGTCCCAGCACCTAAGAGGCAGAGGCAGGCAGATTTCTATGAGATCAAGACCAGCCTGGTCTACAGAGGGAATTACAGGCCAGCTGGAGCTACAGGGAGACCGTGTTTCAAGAAAAAAAAAAAAAAACCTAACCAAACCAGATATTAGTCTGTGTTTTTAATTTGCCATCAGAGTTATAGTATACTACTAATAAAATGAGCTAGAATATATTTTTTCCTGTTTTTTGAGACAGGGTCTCTCTGTAGCCCCAGCTGGCTTCTAATTCACTATGTAGACCAGGCTGGCCTTGATCTCACAGAGCTCTGCCTGCCTCTGTCTTCCAAGTGCTAGGACAAAAAGCATGTGCCACCAAGCCAGCAGTTCTTCATTTTTAAAAGAGATGTAAATATGTTGTTCACCGCATTTTTCTTGCTGTATGTTACTATGTTATAAAAGTATATCATCATTTTCATCTGTTTTTCATGGTTGTAATTTTCAATTTTTCATACTTTGAACATTGTCTCTGAATCATCTCCTTCGAGTTCTCTGAACATGTGTGAAGACAGTTATAAAATTATTTCCTTGACAGTGTTATTTCAGTTGAGTGGAAGCATGTCAACCTTATACTACAAATTTATACTAATTATCTTCACAATGGTTGGACCAGCACCTTGTCCTTGCTCTATGTTCTTTCCAACACTTCTGCATTGGTTACTTTTCTGTTGCTGTAAATCACCATGACCAAGGCAAAAAAAAAAAAAAAAAAAAGTTACTCAATCATGAGAAACATATCCAAGAACCCAAAACTTGGAAATATTTTACAAAACATGAAAGTAATATCCCTCAAAGAAAGGGAAGACTAGTAGCTCACCACAGAACAGAAGAGACTGAATAACAGGACAGTGTATGCAACAAGACACCAACAAGTGATCCTACAGCAGAAGGGAGATGTTAATCAAAGCTGGTAAATTGGGGCTGGAGAGATGGCTCAATGGTTAAGGATACTAACTGTTCTTGCAGAAGACCTGGATTTGAATCCCAGCACCCACATGGCTGCTAAGAACTGTCTGTAACTACAGTTCCAGGGGATCCAACAGCCTCGTCTGTCCTCTGTGGGCATTGCACGACACAGGTACACTAATCTACATGCAGGCATAACACTAACACACATAAAATAAAATATAATAAATAAAATATTAAAAAAAGAAAACTGGTAAATCTAAATAATCTCAATGTATCCAAGTTAGTTTCTTAATTTAAATACATTTACCAGAGTAATATGATATGGCAAAGTTAGGGAGAACTGAAATTAGGTGAGGGGTCATAGGAATTCTCAATATTGCATTATCTTTGAAACTTGTCCATAATTTATAACCATTCCAAAAGAAGATATCTATTTTTGGAAAACAGTATTACCATAAAGATATATGACAGTAAACTGAAAAGTTTCAGTATTTATTCAATATAGCATAAAATTAAAATGAACACAACTTGGGCTTACAGATATGCAAACTGAAAAAAATATACAACTGATTATTCCCCCCATAAAATATAAGCATAAATATACTACAATGGTATTTAACAACTATTTATATATGAGGCTTACTGGCAAATAATTAACAAATAGTGATTTATTTCTTCATTTTTTATAGCATGGGGGGGGGAAGAGAAGGAGGAATGGGTAGCAATCAATATTTAATCATGTTCCAAGTATCTATTTTTAGTTTACTTAAGAAAATAAACAATAAAAAATCTAATGTTTGAGTTTTCACTGTAATTACTTCCAAGTAAGTAAAAATAGCTTTGGCTATCTCTTTCACAGTAGAATACTCTAAAATTGAATACACTTGATAGGGGAAAAAAAGTTAAAAAACAGGTGCCCAATTTACAAGTTTAATATGATGACAAGTATCAGACTTGCAGATCCTGAGAGGATGGATTCATTTGTGGAGCATAGGATGCTAAATAGGGTATAACAGGAAACAGATCATTTAAGGTCTATAGAGTTTAGATTCTAGATATGGAGAGGAGGCTGAGGAATCAGGCTTAGATTAGGTAATGAGCTTCTGCTGAAAGACATTTGCAGTTACGTAGGACTGACATGACAAAATTAGAATAGTGTTGCAGTCTTAAAACACATAGGAGAGGGCCCTTGTGAACACTGAGCTTTCAGTGTGAGAAGCCTCACCCACAGTAAAAGAGAGAAAACCAAGGGTACCAAGACTTACTTCCGCCCACCCACCCACCACAGAGAACAAAGCATTTTGGACAAAAAATAAACTAAAAAGAAGCTTTTATGAATTAGGAAAAACTTGGTTAAGTGGTCATCTCTAGCAGGTCAGAAAACGAACAAACAGTGAAGAAGTGGAGAGATAGAGAGGTGGTCTTTTTTTTTTTTTTTTTTTTTTGGTGTTTTTGAGACAGGGTCTCTCTGTAGCCCCGGCTGTCCTGGAACTCACTATGTAGACCAGGCTGGCCTTCAACTCCAGAGATCCTCCTGCCTCTGCCTCAGAGCACTGGGATTAAAGGCATGTGCCACCACGCTTGACTGAGAGGTGATCTTTAAATAAAAGTAAAGAAGTCAAGTGAAAAAGTAGATTCAGGCACAAATACAAGTAGGTTAATGCTGGGGACATGCATAGTTCTATTTATCTATATATAGAGAGACAGACATATTTACTAAAGTTAAGAAGTGGATCCAAGGAGAGATAAGACAAAACAGTCTTCCACAGGGGACTACTAAAATGTAGCAATATTTGAAGGCAATAAAGAAGGGTCTATTTGTTTACAGTGGTCATAAAATTAAGTTCAGTTTACACATCTGTATGAATTTCTCTTGCCATGTAAAGATGGAGAAGTGCAGAATATACAGGGAACTGAAGCAGGCTTTACTTTTAACAGATGAATAGGACAAACAAGAGAAGGAAGCCTGCTAACACTGAGATATTTCCCTAAATTCATGGATGCATAACTCAAGATGCTGAGAATAAGTGACTGATGAGTGCTCAGCCCGGAACAAGTCATTTATGCCATCCTCTACAAAGTGCAGGGAACATTCTGGAAGAGGCAACAGAAAGAATGTAAGCAAAATGAGATGAGCTGTGAAAATTTTTCTGGGCAAGACACAACCATTCTAATCATAAACAGCAACTGTAGATGCCTATATGGGGTCTGTACCAGAATGGGCCCATCAACGATCGAGCATTGATGAAGGAGGGACTCAGGAGACCCTACCTCTCCGGGCTTAATTATTTGCTACTGATAGATTAAGGAAAGAGAAAATCATCGCCTAAAGGAGTCTACCCGTGGTCGCCACAACAAGCCCAAAGGATAATTCCAAATCCAATTGCCACACAGATGACACTAATTAAATTAAATCTCTTGGGGGCTGGAGAGATGGCTTAGTGCTTAAGAACCCTGGTTGTTCTTGCAGAAGACCCAGGTTCAAATCCCAGCACCAACACGGCAGCTAACAACTGTCTGTAACTCCAGTCCTGGGGGATCCGACAGCCTCTTCTGACCTCCATGGGCATTGCATGACACGGGTGCACTTACCTACACACAGGCAATACATGCGCACACATAAAAATAATAAAAAAACTTTTAACTCTCTCTCTCTCTCTCTCTCTCTCTCTCTCTCTCTCTCTCTCTCTCTCTCAGAACCAAAATCATGAATCTGGGAAAGGAGCTGGTAGGGGTGGGGTAGGGGTAAAGGGGAGATGAGAGAGTTCGATTAAGGAGGGAGTAATGAAAACATGTTACATACATGAATGAAAGTGTTAAATAACAAAAGAGAAAGAGAGAAATGAAGTTATAAGAAAGTTGGTGATATTCATGGTGGGCCAAGGGATCAAAACTAGGTATGGAGAGAAACAAGCACAGAGGCTGACAAACCAGCAGAAGTAGATGACGGTGAACATTCTAAAATGGCTGTAAAGGAAGGGATGCAACACAGCACTGCGCACGTAACAGCAACAGCAGTGTACTGAGCCCTATATCAGATGTATGAGCATCAAAACTGTGCTCTGGAAGGAAGAGGAGACAAAAATAAAAAACCAATGAGGAATTAGCCTCCGGGCCCAGTTGTGTAACTGTTGGAACAAGAGAATGTAGAAGCTACTTACGAGGACTGTGGTGGACCCAGAAGCCTCAGGGTTCAGGAAGTCAGATTGGATTTAGAGCAGGAAGGTGGACATGGATTTCAGAAAAGAATATGCTAATAATTTGACCCAAAAGGCACTGACTTAGGCACTGAAGAATAAAACAGTAATAAAAACTGTCTCAGCCCTTACAAAACTGCAATCAAATAAGATTCTAAAGAATGCAACTGTATAACAACTTAACATTTTATAAAACAAGTTTTATGTTACCAAGAAATAATCCAATAAATTTTAAAGAGAGAATGTATATTCATAAAAGTGATATAAGAAAATACAGAAATATTTTATTATTGAAAGACGATATTGATTATATGCTGAAAACTAGTGTGAATTAGAGGTCAAATAACAAGTTGAATGACATGTACTTATGAAAAATCAAAAGGAAACCTGTTATTTATAGGGTAACAAAGGTTTTTAAAAGGGACATAAAGAAGATCTGGGCAGAATTCACCTTTTCAGTGGTTTAAAAAGATGGGAAAGCAGTGAGTATGTGCTTTTACGGACACATGCAGTTACCTGAGCCAAAGCTGCGTCCCGCTCTTCAATCACTACACCCATCTCTCCTGCAGTTATTCTCTTTTTACAGTCCTTGGTCTTGTAGATTCTATCCACAATTATAGCTCCATTCTTCTGAATAGCGATGCCTGTGTCTGCATTGTTTATTCTGTTCAGTAATTCCTGTAATGTCTACCAACACCATTATATGTTAGTCAGACATGAGGTTTTAATATATTTTATTTAATATAGGGTTTTAATTAATAGGCACATGTGAATTGTAAATTGACTGAGTGAAGTTATTGAATTTTCATATTGCAGCAAAGATGTACATTATTAGTGTGTCAATTCTTCTTTTTCCCACATCTTAGTTCTTGAAACCCACTCAATTGAACTTAAGCCTCTAAGATATAAGACTGACATCAAGAAATCTCCTCAGAGAATGGCTTACCATGTCATTTTCTTCAGGGTTAATATTTTCTAGCCTAGAAAAAAGGGACACAGAAAGCCTGATCAGTAGCATTTCCTTAGTGCAGCAAAATGAGTTCGCTTTTTAAATCTTTAGAACCTCAAGTAATTTCATTCGACTAGTCTTTAGAGTCAACCATGACACTGAACATATTAAAGTGGCACCTGCTCGACTCCATCTTTCAATAATGCTCTCTATCTTCTGCACTGACTTCAGACTGTTAAGTTATTAATGTTTACTGCTATATATGACTACAAGGATCAATTGTTCATATGTGTTTAGATGAGGAAAGTTCCCCAGCGATAGAGGCACTCATTCTTATCATTATATTTATTCCTGGACTTGCAATTCTTAACAGAATATGTATTTCCTGTCTTTTTTTGGACACGTTAGAAGTAAAAATAAAGCTGGTATTTTTGTTACAAAGTTTAACTATGTTCTCTGAAAAGCAATAACAAATAATTACACTAAATTTAAACCCAAAAATCTATTGCTGTGATCCGTTAAACCAAACATACTATATATAAAGGCTGACTAAAACTGGACCATGTTTTTAGATGAATGTTTCTTTTCATATTATATGCAATCATTCAATTTAAAGAGAAAGAAAATTTTTTCTCTTCATAAATGCATTTTGTTTGATAAGAGTTATGATGTTTATTGATATGCTTGTTAATACTGATAAACAGAATAAATGCACTAACAGTAAAGAAAGATGTTCTAAGTGATATATTTTAGAAAACAGAATTTAGTCAACCCCTAAATTAAGTAAACTAAAAGATAAACTGCAATGGGTATTAGTGGACTCATACAGATTTTTCAAATAATTAAGGCTATTTTATAAATTCTATATAGTAAAATTTTATATAGTTTATAAAAGCTTTCTATATCCAAGTTCCTGTTTTCTGAGGCTTTCCCCATACTATCTCCATACCTGTGATTTAATATTTACCAAAAAAGGCTGGTAGTAAAAAATAATATGCTAATATGCATAATAAATATGCTAAAAATGGAGAAAATATCACAATTAAGTAAAACTGCTACATTCAAGGACAGAGTAGTAATTCTTAAACACAGCAACTTAACAAAAATATACAAGCACATCAAAAAGCTATTTTTATACCTATTGACATTCTATGAATTAACAAGGCCTAGTAATTCTAACTTACATGTAACAGTATTTCCTCAAGCTACAAATACTTGCTTATACTTACATTTCAAGAAAAGCAAAGACTCCCAGCTTTTATACATTTTCTACAAAATAAATTAGATTTTCAAAGATACTGGTAGCAAAAGCCTGATCTACAAAAAAATTAGAAAATAACCACTTTTTTTTTCCCCTCAATTCAAGAGCATAACAGGAAAGCATAAAATAATTCCTACGTTTATTTATGGTCACAGTGAAAGGACTTGAACATCAATGCACTTAGCTTCACTTATTAGTTGACTAAATACAATTTTTAATGAAATCATGTGCTGCAAAGTGCTTTTTCAGAGAAAATCAGACCAAGTACTAATTAATGTAGTTTCCAAATAAAAACTTGTATGGATATTTTAAAATGTCATAATTATTTTACTAGACATGAAATTAAAATACGAAAGAATATAATTAAATATTTAGATTAACAAGACTTCTAAGAATTTTTAAAACTAAGTTAATAGGCTTCCAGGTTTAGTTTTATTTTTTTATTTATTTAACCCCAAAAAGAAAACAATAATATAGGCAGGTTTTCCAATTTGTATTTTTCAGATAATCAACAGAACACAAAGTGTATGGGATTTCTACATATTTGTAAATTGTCATTGAGCACCACAATGAGAAGAATGAGTACTTTAAGAAGAGGGAGAGGGAGATTTCAAATTTTTAAAATTAACACTGAAAGTTAAGATAACTGAAGTCTAGTTGAGATAATTTAGTTTAGTATGAAAAATTCCCAGCTAGTAATGAACAACTTTCAAGCTAAAATTGTTTTCGTATCAATAGCTGAACTAGATCTCAAGCATGTGAATTTAGTGCTCAGACCTTAAACAATTTGTGTGATCACCCCTAAAATAAATAAATAATGTTTTTTCATTTGCTAATAAATGAATCTAAACTCCTTTTAGTGAGTCTAGTGTGCTACATCTAACATGCTGAGTAGGAGTGCGCAAAGCCAACCACTTTGCTTTTAGATCTCAATCTTGTTTTATTATTATCGTTACTTATAATCAATATGAAAAAGGTTGAGACTTAAAACATTGTATATGTTCATGGAAGTGCCAATGCAAACAAATTAAAAAGAAAAAGCTAGTATTTCTATTTCTCATTTGTTTGTTTTAAATCTTGGAGATATATTTATCACAGATACCAAAAGGTGATGCCTCAATTTTATCTCATTAAATTATATAGAGCAGAGTTCAGTAAACATTTTCTGCAAAGAGGCAGAGCATAAATATTTTTGGATTAGTTTATGTTCGCTGTCATGCCTACTAAATGTTGCTTTGTAGTACAAAAGCATCCATACATAACATGTAAGTTAATGGCTGGATTTTCATACAACTTTAGTTGCAAAAACAGGTGGCAGGTTGGATTTGCAACATTAGCATTGACTTTGCCTCTCCCTGATACAGAGCAATAGGAAATGAGACAAGATCTTTAATGTCCACATAAAGAGCCAATTCAGTATACTTGACATGATTTTATGAACTGGATCATTCATCTTGCTAAAAAGATTAAGTAGGAATCAATAAAAATTATTTTCAGAAAACTATATTCGGCCCAACAGTAAATAGACAACTTGTTGTATCACTTACTTTAACATAAAAGTTTAATGTTCTACCTTTTCACAAGAAACAATGTAAAATAATCTACAGAAGTGCTGGAGAGATGGCTCAGGGTTAAAAGCACTTGCTGATCTTGCAGAAAACCCAGGTTCGAATCCCAGTACCCACTTGGTGGCTAACAACCTTCTGTAACTCTATTTCCAGGGGATCTCATACTCTCCCTCTTCTGTCCTCCATGGGCATTGCACAACACGGGTGCAACTTGCATACATGCAGGCAGTACATACATACACACAAAGTAAAAATGAAACAAAAAAAGATATAGAAGCTAATAAAGACTTTGATTTTATATTTAAAATGATTTTAGGGTAAATAAAGTTTACTAGAACCATGTATAACAATTTCTGGTTGAATTAAAGACTTAAAGTAATGACTGGTATCACATGAAATATAGCCAACAAATAATAAATTATATCTCATTAATATGGTTTACAATTAGTCAAAAGAATCTCAACTTTGCATAAACAATTATGGCTTCTACAGTCTAACTTCCCATGGTTATGATAATTAGTAAGGAATGCTGAAGCAAATGTTCATGGGCTCAAGTTTCAATTGATTTCCTATACTATGCAAATTTGGACTGACAGTCTTGCAATCCAAGTGAAAAGACCTATGCAAGAAATGTCACCATTTCTTGAGTTATCCCTCAATCTGTCAATATTATCTTTTTCTTCTCTGAAGCTATAGCTATTCATCTTGTTCGATAGTGAAAAGCCAAGCACTGACCTCAAAGTAAAGAGTTACTGGCCAGCTAATCAGAACTTGTGACTTATTTGCTTTTATGTTCTGTTTTTTTGTTTTGTTTTGTTTTTTTGTTTGTTTGTTTGTTTTTTTGGTCTTTTTGAAACAGGGTCTCCCTGAAGCCCCAGCTGTCCTGGAACTCACTATGTAGACCAGGCTGGCCTTAAACTCACAGAGATCCGCCTGCCTCTGCCTCCCAAAGTGCTGGGATTAAAGGTGTCACTTAATGTTTTTAAAAATACTATCAACAAGGGACTGAAAAAAGGTATCAAAAGTTTGACTGTATATGCAAACATATATTAGTGGGTATACATTAAGTATTTTAATATTTTTTTCTTACTTTTAATTGTGTATATATATGTGTGTGCATTTGTACACATGAGTTCAGTGCTAGACTCACAGGCAGTTGTGAGCAGTCTGATACGGGTGCTGGGAATTTAACTCAGGTCCTCCAGAAGAGCAGTATGCATTCTTAACCACTGAGCCAGTTCTCCAGTCCCTACATTAAGTATTTTTAACTTAACTCCCTTTTCACTTTCTTCTTAGAATGTGATTCCGGCTATGTGAGTCAAGTTTCTGTCACTGTGAAAAATTATTGAGGCAATCAACTTATGAGGTAAGGTTTATTTTAGCCATAATTCCCAAGATTTCAGGTCAAGGTTATATGACTGCATTGCCTTTGAACTCTGGTAAGGCAGTACATGACAACAAAGAGTAACGTGGAGGAGGTAAACAGACCCATGGAAATAAAGAAGCAAAGACAGAGAGCGGAAGACCTGCAGTCCCAATATCTCCTTCAGTGGCATGCACCTAGTGAACAATTCCCCATCAGCCCACAGCTCTGGAATATTTCACCACCATCCATGAAGGAATACATGGGCCTAAACACATGGATCTTTGGGAAACATAAATCCAAATGATAGCATATCCATATGAAAAAGAATAAAATTCTGTTATTTGTGGCCCAATGGATGGAAGTGAAGGACATTATGTTAAGTAATGTGCAAGTCACTGAAAGATAAAAAATCCAGCATATTCCTCTGTAGAAGACTAGGAAGGGTGAGAGAGGTGGGGAGTGTATGTGGTCAAGAGAATAGATACTATGGAAATAGTTAACCAGGAAGAATAAATTTTTCTTTTATCATCTATTTAAAAATTCTACTTAACATTGGTCAAAGCAAGTATATGATAACATACACATTATATTGATTAATCATCATTAAATAGATTACTACATTCTATATAACCTTATTGATAACATATTTGTAGAAGCATTTTCCTTGCACCAGCAGCATTTGTATCATCTGGGAGGCTCTCTGGTCCCCAACCAAACCTACTGAACGATAATCTGCATTCTATAAGATTATCTAAGAAACTGGACTACAGTACGGAGGAACTCATCAAGTAAAGGTGGTTGCTGCCAAGCCTGATTTCTTGAGTTCAATCCTTAGTACCCACATGATGGGGAGGAGAATCAATTCCCAAAAGTTGTCTTGTGACCTCCACCAAGGTGCTGTAGTAACCCCCTATGCCCCCACAAAAAAATTTAAATAAGAAATTGGAATGCACATTATAATTTGAATAGTACTTACTTCTAGGACATTGCTTTTGTAAGCATTGCCCATCATTTACCTATCAGAATTAACTAAATTATCCCAAATGTAGCCTCTTACGTTCAGCCTGATTAACATTTAAAATACCACTAATACTTAAACTATACGCGACAGAACAAATAAAGTAGTTCACAGGAATGGGGAAAATAAGCAAAGGACAGAGAAAGAAGTAAAACAAATCTAGAAAATGACACTAAGAAAGTAAGAAGAGTCACACTGGAAGGTGGGTAAGGACACTGAAAATCAAACTATGAAGAAGTGAAGCAACTATCCTGAAGATGTGCATTTCCTTTCTTTCTAAGACCTTTACTATTGGGCTAGGGAGACAGCTCAGTGGTCAGGAGACTGACTTCCTTACAGAGGACCTGGGTTTGGTTCCCAGCATCCACAGGGCACCTACAACAGTCAGTAACGTCAAGTACAGCAGATCTGATGCCCTTTTCTGAGCTCTTTGGGCACTGCACAACCTGGGTGCACTTACACACATTCAGGCAATATACTCATAGACATAAAATAAATATAATAAATAAAATATTTTTAAAACTTTATTATCCCTGACAGGCAAACTACAAGAATGCTAGTTTTAAAAATTACCACAGGGATATGAAATGTCCTAACATAACGACAAAAAATCAATAACATCTCTGAATATGTAAACGGCACATAAAGCAATGCATTTTATAAATGTTCCTGATATCACATAATTTTAATTGTATACATACATTTTTAGTGACTTTTCCATAGTCTTCATTCGTGCAATTGCTTCATCTCTTTCCTCAATGGCTAAGTTCAATCTGTACACAATGGCTTCATCACGTTCTCTCTGTGCAAAATATACTTCTTCAACCAAAGCTACAAAACCAGACAATTCATAACCAATCAAGAAAGGAGAAAAGCATATGTGTAGCAATAAAAAAGCAAAAATAAGCCTAGTATTTTAAAGAGCTTTTATTTATCCAATTAGACTAATACAAATTAATGACTCAAAAAAGGAATTTTTAATTTATATTTTATGTCTATGAGTATTGTGCTTGCATGTAGGCAAACGCACCATGTGTATGCAATGCTCATAAACGTCAGAAGAGGGCATTGGATCCCCTGAAACTCAGTTGTTAGCCACCATGTGAGTGCTGGGAAAAAAACAGGTCCTGTAGGGCAGCAGCCCGTGCTCAACCCCAGAAAGCACTTTTAGTAGCTACTGCAAAACAGATATTTCACTTTTTAAAAAAGAGAGCTAAAGGTCTAACAACAAATTTGCGTTTATGAAAAAATGAAACTCATAAATATTGCATATTATTCATAAATGTTTACAACCATATATTTAACAATGGTATTAAAGTTGAATATGTACCTACTACAATCTAGTATCTTTGATATATAGTATAAAGAAATTTATTCACATGTGCAAAAGGAAACACATATGAAATACTGACTGAATTGTTGTTTATATAAAACAAAAACTGAGAAAAAAACCTAAGTGTCCATCAACATGAGCAGGACCAAACACATTCAAAACACAATACCGCTTGGCATTTAAAACGAATTAACCATGAGTAGGCAGACAAACATAAATAAAATGTTAAAGTAGTGAGTTACTATGAAAGCGACTCTATCATTTATGCATATGCATAAATAGAATGGTAAACATCAAATGAAGGATAGCAGTTCAGTTAGTGACATAGTTATTTACCACTGTACATTTCAACAGTGAAGGAATACTACAGAAAAGGATTATGGTACAAATAGCATCACTTACTGTATTGAGGGGAGCTCAGGTATTATCTCAAATTGTCCTTTCTTAAACATAATTTCTTAAGACCTTGCAAATTGTTAAAATATTACCAAAGCAAGATAGCCTTAAGTACTTAAATAGCTGACCTAAATTATATTTATACTATCAAACCATGGGTTCAGATTTGTTACAAATTAATACAGAGCACAGGATAGATATTGGATTACTTAAATTATAAGTGGTCCAGAAGAACCATCCTGAGAGTAAGTCAGCTATATCTTTTTCATGATAGATTATGAAAAGTGTAAATATAGGACAGAGGATGTAGCTGTTACAGTGCTTGCCTAATATGCAAGAAGCCATGGCATCAATCCCCAGCTCTGTCTAAATTGAGCAGGGTGGTACACACCCAGAATCCCAGCACATGGGAGGTGGAGGCAGGAGGGTCAGAAGTTGAAAGTCATCATCAATGACAGTTAGAGGCTGGCCTCGAATACATGGGATCCTGCCTTAAAATAAAAAATCAAATAAAACTAAACTAAAAAAAGGAAAACAAAAACATGAACAAAACATGTAATTTGCACTGAAAAAGCAAAAGAAAAATCACAGTCAAGAAGCTGAGCTTTAAGAAAACAAAGTATAGCCACTGATTAATTTGCTTTATCAAACTCATGTGCCAGTCATCTATCTTGTTTTAACAGCTATAAATATAGCCTCATACCTTCACCACTGAGTACACATTATATTACAGAAAAACAGACAGCAGAGTAAAACATAGGGAGAGAATTGGACAGAACAATACAAAGAAAAAATAGGTAGTAATAAAGGCTTGAAAAATACCACACACACACGCGCGCACGCGCACACACACAAAATCAATGATTTGCAGAGACGAAGCAGAATAGACTATTTTTCTGGGAGTAGTCAGAAAAGACCTTTCAAAGTAAAATTTAAATAAAAAGGAAGGATGGAGGGAGGGAAGGAGGGAAGGAGACATGAAAGGATATTAAGGAAGAGAATTAAAAGTGTAAGAACCTTGGATGTATCTGAGGAACAATAACAGGGCCAATATGGCTAGAGCACAATAAGGGTATGTGACAGTTCTGGGAGTTGATAATGGATTTTGTAACTATAGTAAGGATTTCACATGTAGTATAACCTCTTAGAGGGTTCTGAAGAAGGAAATGAAAAGAGCACATTTATGTTTAAAAGGGATGATTCTGGCTTCTGGGTGAGAAAATAAATGGGCAAGAGTGAACACAAAAGGGCATCAGCACTTATCTAAGCAAGACTTTATTTCAACAGTTCTCATAAATGACCCATTCCCTAGAACTTTCACTACATATAAATAAATATATATAATAACACAGAGCTTAGATATTATACTAGTGGGCTCTCACAACAGGAACAATTTGATCCAAATCATATTTTAGAAACTCTCAGAGGTTAGAATTCTGTGTATTATAAGACTTGCATGGGAGGAAAGTTACAGGTTAGGCTACACATAATCCTCAACCCAATATTAAGTCCCTACAGCAGACAGAACCCTTCTAAGTACTCTAGAATCAAGTTAAAACAAAACACAAGATAATTTCTAAAAAGAACCAATTGCAAATTTTAGAATTTAGAAATAAAACATCAAATTTTAAAGCTTCCCAGATACCTAAATAGCAAAAAGGACATAGAAAGTGTCAGTGAACTTGAAGATAAATCATTAAAAATTATTGGCTCTGCATCACAGAAAGAAAAAATATGAAAAAATGAGCAAAGTCTCAGCAATCTGTGAAAAAACAAAGATCATACAATCTGTATCTCAAGAAGGATGGGCTGAAGAATACCCAACACTGCAAAAGATATATAAACCAAACATCAAATCAGGTGAGTATCAATCAAAACACCCACCCCAAATACACGGTGATGTGGCATTCAATAATTGCACTGCTATTCAGAGAAAAACAAAACACAATTTTACAGGACAACAGAAATTGAAATGACAACAGATTTGCCCTCCCAAGCCTTGGAAATCAGTGAAAAATGGCCACATATATGTGAGGCAGTTAAAGAACTACCAATTCAGAGTTCTATTTCTCATTAAAATATCCTCCATGAGTGAAGCTAGAAAAAAAATTCGCATTTGAAGGAAACTTAAGAGAATCCAGAAAGGTGGGAAAGGTGATCTTCAAACAGAAGACAAATGGTGAAAGAAATGGAGCATGAAAAATGAAGGGCAAAGACAAAGTGGGCGAGAGCTGGGTGAGAACAAAACAGCTTGAGTGCACAAAGTGGTTTAGTGGCGAAAAGCAAAAACTTTAACGTGAATGAAGTTTTCAGTACCGCCAAATAATCTTAAATATTTACTGACAAATGCGGAAGCCACGAATAATAATTGATTGTATATTTTAATCTACGTAGCAATCAATAGATTTACTAGTATATATTAATCAACATTAAATTTAGAAACTGAAGATAGACTAGCAAAACAGGTTCAAATAACATGACCAATCTCCTAATGACAGAAAACTGAAGAACGGAGGAACAAAAAGGGAAAGAAAATTCACTTCAAATATATATAGATTAAAATGAGAATGCAAGGAAGATAGACCGTATAAACACAAATGAAATACAGCCAGCATGCCTAATTCCAAAGCACACTTACACAAAAGAAAATTAACAGTGATGAAGAGTGATGTTAAAGATTGATAAAGGGCTATTTCATCAAACATACACAAAAATTACTCAGCGCAATGCACACACCCGAAGCAAAAACTGGTGGACTTGAACAAATGATTACATAATCACACTTGGAATCTTTAGTTGACTCTTTGATAGAGATAGTGAATAGAAAATCAGCAAGAAAAATAAAGATAAAATGAACAATATGACCAATCAAGAGGTAAACAATACTTATAAAATATTTTCAGTCAGAATAAATATTCTTTTTAAGTGAAAATGAACATTCAGCAAAAGACACCAAGTTTGTGGTCATAAATTAAATCTCAAAAGTTTAAAGTATTAACAGCATTAGAATGTAAAGTAAAACTGAAAATCAGAAGGACGACAGATAATCTTAAAATACCTAGATATTGGAGCTGGAAAGATGGCTCAGTGGTTAAGAGCACTGGTTGCTCTTTCAATTCCCAGCACCCATACAGCAGCTAACAACCGTCCATAATTCCAGTTACAGGGGAATCTGATGCCCTCTTCTGACCTCCGTAGGTATTGCATGAAATAGGTACACCTACCTACATGCAGGCAATAAACTCATACACATAAAAAATAAATAAAATATAAAAACACTTAGCAAGATATTTGCAAGTAATCTATGTTTCAAGGGAAAAAACTGCCTGAAAAAAAAAAAAGGTGAAAATGCAGGAAATTAAAATCTGTGTGTCACGAACCCACACACTTTTGTGCACTTTTGACAGAATGTACAAGACCTGGTCAAATTTAAACCAGACAAAATTACAGCTTTGATGGGGGGAGGCTGACAAAAAGCTCCAGTCCCAAATGAAGAACTATTGGCAAGTCATAGCTGCTATGAGACAAAATGTCAGATTTCCTTAAAGGTGTTACACCAGGTGGATTGACTAGGCTCCAGGAGTGGGACCCACGCCCAAGAGCATTTGGGGAATACAAATTATACTCAATCGGCCTTTATCCTCCCCTGCTCAAAAAAACAAGAACATGAAGTTGGGTAGTAGTAAAATTGGGTGGAAATGGAGGAGGGGTTCTAAACAGGATCAAAATGCACTGTAGGAAATTGTCCAAGAATCCCTTGATTCTTATTAAGAAAAATCAGTGTGAAAAGACTAAAGCATTGCCTGTGCAGAACTTCATACAAATAAATGCAAGTATCAGAGAGGAGATCTCAAATGATCATGTAAGCTTCTTTCCTTCCTTCCATCCTTCCTTTCTTCCTTCCTTCCTTCCTCCCTCCCTCCCTTCTTTTATATTATCGTTACTGTTGTGTGCCTATACTATGCTATTACCATAGATCAATTCATCACATAATTTTGAAAGAAACCTATCCAGAATATAGTACCCAAAATGACATTTACTTTCCCTTCTAATAATCACTATAAGCAGAATACCATGACACAGTTTATACAAAATACTATAT